TGGGGGCCGGCCGCTGCCGCGGCTGAGAGACCCCCTCAGGTAACGGTCGGAGGAGCACTGCAGGAAAATGTGGATTATTCCAGATGAAAAACGGCGCAGATAAAAATAAATAGTGTCAATTTAAGGAAAGGTACCGCTGCCCAGAGAGTCGCTAAAGACCTGTGTGTCTGGAGAGTGTCGGGTTTTTTTCCCAGCTATGCCAGCTAACTAATTCAAAATATGGTATTAGTATTAGTTATTTTCCAATTAATTGTTGTATTTCTAGATACAATGCTACATATTGTATATATTATATTGCTAGCTATCCACCCATGCCTGCTCACAACCTGAACCCGAGACCTGACCCTGTGAGGAGGGCTGAGATCCCGCGAGCCGTGCAGGGGACGGCAGTTCCCTCCCGCCTGGGGAGAGGCTTCTGCTGGAGAGGGAGGTTCGCTTTTGTCACTGTGGGTGACGAAAAGTGCAAACGCCTGGAAAGAATCCGGAGGAAAGAGCGGCAAGACAGGGAAATCGGTGAAGGTCGAACAAGCTGGGCTTGTTTAGTTTAGAAAAAGAGTAGCGAAGCAGAGGAAACAGTTTGTATTAACATATATGAGGATTTTGACCTTTTTTTGTGTTCTGTATGGAAAGGATGGGAAGAAACCGACTTTGCAGTGAGGAGCGCTTGCCAATTAGAGGGGGCACAGGCACCAGGCAATCTTCAAAACTGGATTTATTTTTTCTTTTAATAGCTGAGATAAATATTTGTCACATCTCGTCCTAGCTGGTTCTGAGCCTCTCAGATATTCTTTCCTGTCTACGGTTTTATGCTTCTGCCAGGTGTATCTGAAGAAAAATCAGACACATATATGCAGACACATAACAAATAATGGAATGTCTAATTAAATGTCTTACATATTTAAAAATCTTTTCATAACAGCATTTGTTAAGATTAAAGGTGAAGATTTAAAAAACCCTCAATATTTAACATGTTGAAGAGGTAACAGATGAAGGAGTTGTTTTTTGAAACAAGAACGACAGCTTTAACATCTCTCAGTGCTCACTGGGAATTAGATGTTTCCATAAATTTAAATTAATTTTCCCTGGACCAAGTGCTGGCAAACAAGCATGTATTTTCCGCCTGACCTGCCTCATGGGTGAGTATTACCTGCTCCTCTGGCTGGCTGCCGCCCGGGCGGGAGGGATAGGATGTCTGCAGTGACACCGTGATGCTGTCCACAAAGAGCGTATTAACAAGTTCTCGTGTTTGTCTTTCTCATCGCAGCGTGTTCAGTGAAACTGATACCTTCTGGTGGCACATTCGCGGTCCTGACTATACAAGGACTGCACAGCCGTATGATATTCAATGTGATAAAGCAGAAAAGACTCCACCCGTGCTAATAGGGGGACTCGTCTTGGAGACCTATGGGTGGAAATCGCTGTGAATCAGCCCACCGGGAAGGCCCTCAATCCCACCTCATACCTCTGAAAATTGGAGCTACCTTTGCCTGCGAGCTCGCCCAGAAATGACAGGTTGGCCCGGCGGGGCTCAGTTATGTGAGGAGGTTTGTAGATCGAGCTCACGTCCTTTCCCAGACCAAATCAAGAGGGATTTTTCTAAACTGCTGGGCCCGAGAGAAGACAGCTCGGGTCGCGCGAACCGCGCCCCGCCTGTGTCCACCGTGGCCCGCCCCGAGGAGGGAGGAGCGGGAGCGGGGCCGCAGTGCGCGCTGGGGCCTGTAGTGCTGCGGGCCCCCCG